GATTTGCCTGCTGTGACCTTTAAAATGGGATCAAGGTCACCAAAACCGACTGGTGTCTGCGGAGTCTGTATATACACCATAGTTCCAAATATGAAGACAATCCAGTGTTTAGTTCTTGAGATATCGCGGCAACACCGTTTTCCAACTCTAAAAGCAGATTTGTCTGCTGTGACCTTGAAAATGGGATCAAGGTCACCAAAACCGACTGGTGTCTGCGGAGTCTGTATATACACCATAATTCCAAATATGAAGACAATCCAGTGTTTAGTTCTTGAGATATCGCGGCAACACCGTTTTCCAACTCTAAAAGCAGATTTGTCTGCTGTGACCTTGAAAATGGGATCAAGGTCACCAAAACTGACTGGTGTCTGCGGAGTCTGTATATACACCATAGTTCCAAATATGAAGACAATCCAGTGTTTAGTTCTTGAGATATCGCGGCAATAAACAGGTGGGACGTACGGACGGACGTACGGACGGACGTACGGACATACGTACGGACGGTCGTGAATACTATATCCCCCGCTTCGCGCTTTCGCGCGGCGGGGGATAATAATTTTGGCGAAATCGTATGCGAAGTGATCGGTAGATCGCACAACTCACCGTTATTTACAGCAACCACGGTCAGATTACCGCTATTGACGCCTTGAAACGAACTTTATTTGCAAGAGAATGGATACACATATCATAAATGCCATACCTTGACTCATTTAAAGTCATATTTGAGGCAATTTGACTATTAAATGACAACATAACACTTTCGCAATCGAAATACATGTAGCGCGGGAAGTCCCTTCGGTGACTGGTCAATTTGTTCAATACGTAAATAATTAGATCTAACAATGTGAAATCTCCGCAAAAACGCTGAAAATCGCATTTTTTAAAACAGTGGTCCTCGAAAAGAGTCATCTTCCTCGTAAAAATATGATCAAAGATTTAAAAAAATACTCCGAAAATATTGTGTTTCCGGAGAACCGTCGCGGATTGGCCTGTTTTCGATCAGAACTTTCAGCATCAATTATGCCTTTATTATTATTCATGACACAATACTATTATCGTCGGATCATAGGTTTTCGGACATCATACGTTTTCAATCACGAATACTTGCACCATAACGGTAGGTGTCACACAGAAATTATAAATACTCAGATGATGGCTTGATTCTAAGATAAAGTTGTCCTTTATGAATAAGTGAATGAGAAGTTTTACACTTACAGTTGTTCATGTGATCAGCGAGAAAACTATGACTGTTTCTTCAGTGTCCGAAAACCCATAACCCTGGATATGTGTTGAAATAATGTCATGTTTGCAATGTGTTTTTCAACAAAAGGTAAGTAAGTACAAGGCTATTTAAAAAAAATATATATTTCAACATGGGGAAAGGTCAGACATTGCACGCTTGTGACAGTTGTCCTTGTGTCTGGCGGATGGGGGGGTGAAGTTGATGGCAGTATTGCTCCCAGACCTGGCGGGTAGCCAGGTGTGCGGAAGCTTTGCCCGATTTTTTAAAAGTACTGATTTAACTTCGAAATTTTACTGCATGCGGAATCTTTGTTTAAGTGACTTGTTGACTTTTGCCACTGACCTATTACTTTTCTTGGGTCCAAGTCATTGACCTGTATACAGCTTTTTGTGTCAAAATCACTGCATGTCTGCCACAAGAAACCACCACAACCAGCATTTTCTAATGAATTAATGACATCTTGTGAAGAGGCATGTGGTTGTGCTTTGTTCTGCTGTGGGGAGGGACAACTCCTTAAACAGGCCTCTTTTTAAGGGTTGGCCGCTACTCTATAATCTTGAGTTACCATGCATAGACAACTGTGCCATAGGAGCACAAATGTCTGCAGCCTTGTAGTCTGCATAGCCCCTGGAGGTGTCACGATAAATGGTAAGCACTTAAAGTCAATAAATCGATTGTTAAATCAGTTTCCGGTCAATAGTATCCATTTCAGTTAGGAATATCGATGCTGTTCAAATTTGTTTTTCTTTGGATCATGAGTGGTAGTTATTTACACATGGTAATATGGAAGTTTCTTTTTCTTAAATTATTAGGGTAAAGAAAAAACAAATCTGTCATATCTCAAACTTTACTTTTCATTTGTTGTTATGGTTATCACATTCAAAGGAAAATTCACTTCCAAGGTTTAATTCAACTATAAAATCCATCTAAAATGATACACTGAAAACTATCGATATTTATTGCAATAGTTGCTTGCAATATCAATAGTTATAGCAATAGTTCCTTTCAATGTCAATAGTTTTCGCAATAGTGATTTCCAGACCAATAGTCATCCATAGTAGCCCCAATATATAATACCTGGTATTTTGACTGAATAGTACAGTTAGTAACTTAACTAAAAGAGATATTTCATGTAATATGTAAACCTACACTATTATGACTCTTTTCTTTACCCTATTCAATTGGTTTTGAATATTTGGGACATTTTACAATAAGAGGTGTCCGTAGGCCCCAGATTTTTAAATAATTATATTCTGCTTTTTATGAAGTAGTTTCATTAGAAAAAAATCTTTCTGACAATTGACATTAGTTTTTATCTTATTACAGTTTGTCTGTTTACTCATTAGACACTTTGCAAAAAGTAGTGACCGTAGCCCTTAATACAGGGTAAGTGAGTCAGTTGCCGAGATATTTATCTTTGCACTTATTTGTTTACAAGTTTGTCACATACTACTTTCTAGAAGTTTTGAAAGGATTTGATAAAACATACTAGATATTGATCACCGGGTATTTTCAGAAGAGAAACTGCTATTTTCAGTTTATTCTGCTTTCTTAGACAGGAAAAAAGGCAATCTCATTAAAACAGATCTTAGTTCACGTTATCGCTAAACAAAGATCTGAGGACATCCCATTACGGGTCACGTCAGAACGACCTTTCATCCGGCCAATCAAAGCATCGCTTACAAGATCATGAAAGGGATAGTTGGAACGTGTTTTCTAATCATGCAACCTCAAAAACGTCAACATGAGGTATTCCGAATGACAGTTACGACTGATTTGGTCAAAATTATCGCCTATATCCGTGGTCGGTCAAAGTTCGCAAAAGGTCGTTCTGACGTGACCCGAAATGGGATGTCCTCAGATCTTTGTTTAGCGGCAGCGAGAACTTAGATCTGATTTTAATGAGATTGGAAAAAAGGCTGTTTACTTTGCAATTGGCCCTATTCTGTCCAGTCATATAAAACACATACCTTCCCTCATTGTTTTGTTGAATATACTGTCTATTTCAATAGACTTATAAATATATCAATATATCATTTAAGGATTGAAGTTGTATTTGTTGATCAACAAATACAATATCAATCATTACACTAACAGATGCATAAATCATAACAAAACTATCCATTAAACATCAAACTTTAATTATTTAAAGCAAACAATATCAACGCGGACAGTTGTGATGTCATCCGTCCCAAAGATTCTATTTGGAGTGGCATCCCTTGCTTTAACAAATGGTAGAAAATGGCGGCTACGGAAATGTCATTCACTTGAAATGAGCAACCAGAAAACGTTGGAAAGGAATCCAGACTTGGCAAATGCTGAAAATGGATTGATATAAACGTTCTGTGAACTTTGGGTGTGTATTTGAGTCATACTGCGGCTGCTGACGACGGGGATTACCGCTTAAGGCGGCGCGGTTGGATTTGCCGAAGTAATACATGACAGTGTGGAGCACAGTGATTTTTTTTGATAAGTCGAGCATTCTCTTTTATAGCTTCCAATTGACGCTTCATTGATCTGTATGATCATATATGATCTGTCTGGCCTCAAAGCCTGCATCCTTCATAGACTGAATCAATGTCGTCAGTGGTCCCTTATGATTTTAATGTTATTTTTAGACATTGAGGAGTTCCCCTTAAGTCTTTCTGTATGACATACTGACGTTCATCGGGAAATGAACGACAGTCAGCTTGGTAGTGTTCATCTGGGTGAGGTCACCCACTACTGTCAATATTTCAATTTGTAGTGTCAGTAGCCCATGGGATGTTTATGATGAGTTTGAGACAAAACCGGTTGAAATTAAGAAAAACCCTTTTCAGGCATAAAAGTGCTAGATAGACCTTTTATTTTCTTACACCACTTAGAGCTTTAATTGCACTTGATTTTTCAACAAAAATGCATCATAAAATTTGACCCCTGATTGTGACCAGGCTGTATAAAAAGTTATACTATATCCTGACATACCCTATTTTCGAACACTTAAGATGGCATTGCTGATATTTCTAGAGATGAATGAATCAAAACTCAAATTCTGCTTTATAACAGTAGTGGTAGGTGATGTCTTCAACAATAGAATTCAGCTACATTCTGTAAGAAAAAACTCCTCGATAAAAGGTGTGACCTCCTTTGCCTCATCTGTAAACTTCTTCTGCACTCGTGAGACATCACCTATTTTTGAAAAACTGATTGGTTTGTACTTTTGTTTGAACAGACGTGTTTTGGCGCACAGTTCTCAACATAATTTTTGCAGACCGGCAGTAAAATAATTGAAAGTTTGATACTGATTAACAAAATATGAATATTTGTCAAATTAAGTGTTCACACTATTTTACTTTTCCTCTTCATCATGACACGGACACCAAAATTCTAAATGACGACAGAATGTTCTGACAGTGCTTCACATGAACCCAAAGTTGACAGGCCGAATCTCAAGTGGCCAGCTTTGATTACGTCACGCCTCTCGTTCTAATGAGACAAATCAATATCATGTAAGGCTGTTCGAAAATAGGGTACTCGTAGATACATACATGTGAATCCAATTGTGCTCATATAACCTGCCTATATGTCATGCAAATTGCCGCCATAATTTATGTAATACGTTGAAAATGGAGGGTGCAATTCAAATCTGCCGTTTAGCGATTCCATACTGTGCTTGTGAACGCGCCTTTCTGATTATAGGCCTACAACGAAAATAGTTTTTGCGAAGAGAATAGGGGACACGCAAGAAATGGAAAAGCCGATATAGTGTAATATTTACCTTTACAGAGGCGAAATAATTCGTTTGATGTATTTGAAATTTTCTAACTGCTTCGCTGATACAGGCATTGCACTCCATAACACCACCATTTTGTTTACTTTACGGTGTCAGGTCAACTGTGCACTTCCGGTAAAATGTATCCTAAATCTTCCGGTGTTGACCCAAGCTCTGCAGCGTCAGAAGCTGTCCTTTTTCAGACCAATCCTCAGCGCTATATTTTATCGAGAGGCACGCCTGTTGTACACGCGCGAACCCGCGTATAGTTCAACTATACTGTATTCAAGCTCCCGAACGACAAAACGAAATGGGCGGCTAATGATAGACAAATCCCAGTCAAGATTATAACAATTCCAAAATGTTTTTTGTCTGAATAAGAAAAAATGAAAAGCGAACGCAGGATTCAGGGGCACAGTTTTCATAACAAATAACGGCAAAGGAGTATTTTATTCTCTGAGCCTCGAAATTCGCACTGTAACATGTTTATGAATGTGTACATATATATTTGATTCAAGATACAATTTGACACATTTAAAGACATTGTTTTGTTTTTCATATTTGTACGGTTAGGAAGGTGACGATTGGTAGGGTGCAGGCTAAAACGGCACCCCAGCAAAACGTCACCGATTTCTCTGGCGAAAACGGCACCGCATTTGGCGAAAACGGCTACTATGTGTCGGGCGAAAACGGCACCTCTATTTTTAATAAGGATAAGAACGATTTTTGTAGTAATATATATGGTTTATTTACATGGTCACAGTTATCACAGCATGTTGTTGTTTTCTGACATTCTTCTCTCATGCAACACATCGAAAGGCCATTGTTAATAATTGTGATCTGACAGCACCATGTTAGGCCTCTTAAATACAGTTTCAGTTTAAATTGAGTAAAGGTACTTAAAACTTCAAAGCTTATAGTGTTTTCACACATTTCACTTTCAAACCAATGCCGATACATACACACACTCACCCAGCAGGCCAACAAACACATAAACATAGACACGGCTAAAATCCAAACACGAAAATTTGCTACACCTGCATCTAAACCACTCCTCCCTACACCACACCCAAACACCATCCCACGAACAAACACCACACCCATAACCGACAGCTCTGTCTGGGCCCCCTACCGAGAAACCGCACCCACCTCACACACACAAGCAGCCACTCAACCAACCACGAACCCTCCCACATCTCACATAGCCAAAACATCAACCCCCGCATGCAAAACAAACCTCAAAATGACCACCACAACACGACCCTCATCCAAGCACCCTACAGCCCATATGGTAACAACACTCTCCCACAAGCAAGCACAACAACAAAACACAAACACTAAGAAATCATCAGCTACACCCATCCCACAAACACCTTCACAATCCTCCACATCACATGCCTCCCCCATGGAAACTCAATCAGCTAAACCTAATCTAACCGATGACGAAGATTTCTCCACTACTGAGGAAACAATAGACACTACTCCAACTAAAACAAACCAAACTCCCCAACCAGCCAACACCCAAAACCAGCAGCTAAACTATCCCTCAAAATCCCAGAAATAAGCTTAAACTTACCCATCTCAAAATCAGAAATTAAAAGTGTAAACAAGCAAAAAATCACACAAAAATGGCATAACCTATATCTAAACTCAAATAGCCAAATCAAAAAAGTGCTCAGCAAACCACTAACCAAACCAAAAATTCTCCATCCATCCAAAAAAATCGACAGAGTAATCACTAAACTCCAAACAGGACACACCAACCTAAATAACCACCTAAAAAAAATTTAAAAACACACTACAGGTAACTGCCCAAACTGCAAACAACCAGAAACCCCAGAACAGGCACTCATCCACTGCACACACTACCTAACACATCGAACCGCATTACAAACCACCCTCAATCTAAACAAGGCTCTAACTCTAGAAGCAATGCTAAACCCACAAAATAAACTAGAAAACTTCAAGGCCTTAGGCGTATTCTTAATAAAAACGGAACTAATAAAACGCATCTAAAAACACAATAACCTACCAAATCAAAATCACATAAACAAACAAACATCCACCATACCCAGCTCCCTTAATTCTCCTCCCCAATCCCAATCTCAAAATTCCCAAATTCTATATAAGCAACCCCTAAAACCCCCCTCTTGGGTTGCACAGACCACTTTCGCCCCTTTCGGAAACACATTAAATGGCCTGGCCGGGCCCGTGTGCGAAATACGCATCAGTCGGAAAGCGCACGTTAAATCTCCAAAGTAAGTTTTCGCTATAACCCCGATTGGTACCATCTGATTTAATCACTTTAGACATCATGGTAACGTATCACACTACCCTAAACTAATAAATACATGCACGTTTGTAAAATTCGTTTGACTAGAAACTAGAACGTATATATACGTATATAGAGAATACTACACTCATTCTCGTTAGATACCACTTTTACGAAACGAGTGGACTTTCTATGGTATCTGACCGAGCGAAAGCGAGGTCAGATACCATAGAAAGTTCACGAGTTTCGTAAAAATGGTATCTAACGAGAATGAGTGTGGTATTTTATTTATTACCCACGTTAAATATGTATGTAAGTGTAAATACATAATGTAGCGGCCCGGACCCGAACTTCTGATAAACCTCGAAGTCTGGATGTAACTGAGAGTCAAAACACTTCTTTCCAATGAATAATTAGTTTTTATTCATGTGGGTATAACAATGCCTTATATGGACAACACAATGCTTCCAAATAAGTAGATCCCTCTGAGCTTTAAGGTTTATTTGTAAGGACCAGTGTCAGGGCAAAATAATTATTGCCTGTAACTATAATGGTAGTTTACTGCTATAAATATATATATATGGATGACTTCTTTATCTGAATAACTTTACAGTTACTCAGATAGCAATTTGTGTCTGTGTTCAAAAATGCAGTCTATTTATAGAAATGATTACATAAGGACAAGGGGAACTTTTGGGCTGAATTATCTGCCCTTTGATTGAAACTGACCTTTAGACTGCCAAAGTCAGAATGACCCAGAATGGATCTCATCGTATTTATAGGTGTGAGAAAATGGTCACATGTCTGTTATTGACCAATCAAATTACGAGAAATTACGTCTCTTTACGTCCTTATTCCTTTGAGGGATCTACTTTCACAATGTAAAATCACTGAAATAAAGAGGAAGGCAAACCATCTCAGGAGGTAATTTGGTATAAAGATGAGTATTTATACCAATCAATGAATTCTGTCTAATTGATTCACTAATTGCCTTCCAATATCACAAGATAAACAATTACGTCCTGCTACGTCGAAGCTACGTCCTTGCTGCCTGCCGAGAGGACGTAATAACAACAAGCAACATCGACTGGGAATTATGATGGACAATTCAAAGAGGAAGATTACAAATGTCAGGAGGCAATTGGAATTTATCTGATGCATAAGACGTTTAATAACACAAATTGGCCACTGGTATACTTTGACAGAAGCACTGGATGTCATATTTATGAGAAACATGTTCATAAATAGTGACGCTAAATACTGCGCATGAATACATCAGCGAAGATTACATAGTTCCTGATGTCAGAATTAACAGTAACTTTAATACACGTCTTGACATATCATCAAATACGATTCTGGGTTCCTCTGGACATAGTTCATTAGATTAAATAAACTTTATAATGCAAATGCTAAGCATTAGCCAAATTCAGTAACTTCATCGCGACCTAGGCTAGCTGTCACAAAGTTAAAATGGCGGGCGTCGGCGAAACACGTAGCTGAGCCCTGATCACAAATTCACACAAATATGGATAAATATCAAGCTGCCAAGTGATTGTGATCTGTTTGTTGAAGAACAAAGGTATGATTAATCTGTATCTGATGGTTAATTTGCGTAACTGTGTGCTTAGAACGATGAATTCTTCAAAAGTTACGGTCAATGCAAAACTCTTGAAACAAGTAAACAAGATCGTTTTGACAGGCACGTTGTTGACATCGATGCTTATTAGGTACTGGCACATCCTAAACAATATGCGTAACATGATGGCATGGACATATGATTATTTTTACGAGATAACAGTGTGCCATGAAGCTCTATAAAAGCATGCTATGATCCTCTGATAGATTTCTTACCAAAACGGGATTCAAAACATTGAATTACGTGAAAACGAGGTTGGCAAAAGTATACTGATATATACCTGCAAAACTAATTACAGTTTACAGGATAATTATGATATAATTCGTGCACTGTCATATAACCATCAAAAATACAACAGGAAATATTTAGGAAATATTTCTAATTTTTACAAGCTGTCATAACTTACATATTTTATAATAAAGACACATTAATATTTATATATTCTTCGTGATGGCCATCACATCATCCCCCTCTTCAAAGATCAGGTCCCCTGATCTGCTAATTCGCTTCCAGGCGAAGACCGATCCTTGCTGCATCGATAGAGTTGATGATCCTGTCTGTTTCCGTATTCCTATGGCGTTGGGCCGCTTGATGCATGAGGATTATGGCCCTGGCAGTCTGGCCGTTGATCTTGCCCAAGGAGATGTCAACCAAGGTCCGGTAATCGTAAAGACGGGCCTTCCTTGATGGTGAGTGGTCCTCTGTATGCAGTAGGGTACCAGGGAGGGCAAGCATATTCCATCTGTCATGCAAGTAGCTCCTTTCAATGCGAGGGACTCGTCCTTGGAGGCCATCCTCCAGGGTCATGGCAGCAAATTCCCACTGGAGGAGTCTCTCATCTGCACTGAGGGTCTCCCAGCTCCTAGGAGGCCAGGTGATGCTCCTTGCACCAGCAGAGAGCCGGATCTGATGGTGTGTCCAGTCCCTTCTGGCTGGAGGAAGCAGTGGCATGCAACCTGTTGTCAAGATCTTCTTGGCATCCCTCATGGTGTCCACTTCCCTTGGCCTTGGGGGAGAGCTGGGCCTTTGATGGTATCTTTTCTGTTCCTCTCTTCTTGGTATCTTTGATGCGGAATCCTTATGGGGAGACATGTTGGAGTTACTCGATCTCTTCTTGGGCCTGGGGGAAGGTTCCCTTGATGAAAAAAGGGATGTCCAGTGTGTAACGGAGTCGATCATGTTCTTCTCTATCCCCAGGAGTGATGCGAAGGTGGCTTTCCTTGTTTCCAGTTGAG